TTCATTAATTATCGTCGTTGTTGTTATCATTATCATTGTCGTTAGTATTTTTTTTCTAAATGTTGCTATGGTTATTATCATTGTTATTGCTGGTGTTAGCATTAGTATTAATATCTGTGTTTGTATAAGTATTATTACAATTATCATTATCATTAATGTTATCATCATAATTAATATCTTTATCTTTGTCATTATTATCGTTAATATTATAGTTCTGATTGCTATAATGTTATTATTATCGTCAATATCATCATCATCATCATCGCCTTTATTATCATTATCAGTATTATCGTTATTATAATCATTCTTCTTCTTCTCCTTCTTCTTGCCATGATTATTATTATCATTCCATTTCTTATTATGCTGTTATTGTTATCATTAACATTATTACTATGTCTATTGTTATCATCTTAATTATCATTATTCTCTTTCTCTCTCTCCTCTCTCTCTCTCCTCCTCTCTCTCTCTCTCTCCTCTCTCTCTCTCCTCTCTCTCTCTCTCCCTCCCTCTCTTTATTACTATTATTATTTTTAAGATTAATTCAAATCTAACTTTTCTCGAGATCCAGTTTTCTGAAGACATTTTGCGAACGAATCATAACCAATAAGTGAGAGCGTATTCTATAACAGCCCCTGAAAGCTATCAACGTGAGGATTTCTATTACATTTTTTCTTCAGAGATTCCTGAGTTTAGTCATCGTCTTTCACATGACAGCTTTCGTTACCTTAGTCTGGTTTTTGAAGCGATTTGAAGCTTCGAAGAACCTCCAGTCAAGGTGGGTGTGATGTTATATCATATTGTGTTATATCATTATTATTATCATTGTCTGTTTTTTTAATTTTTTTTTATTTTTTTTTTTTAAGCGATTTGAGGTTTCTATGAATCTCTAGCTACGGTGGGTGTGTTATTATTTTTTTATTATTGTAATTGTATTGTCATTATTGTCATTATTATTATCATTGTTGTTATAATCATTATCATTATTGTAATTATCATTATCATACTATCATTATTATACCATTATATACTGTTATTGTTATATATAATTATCATTTATTATTTTATATTATCGTAATTATCACTATCATCATTATCATTACCATACTATCCTCCTTATAGTATTCTATACTATCATTATCATATACTATTATCATTAATCATACTACACTATATTATCTTATACTATTATTATAATATACAATTTTAATTTCATTATTTTTAATAATCTTAATTGTCACTATTCTCATTATCATACCATTATCATTATATAATTATATACTATCTTTATTATATACTTTCATCATATTCTCTTTAATTATCTTATCTATTATTATCCTCATTGTCATTATCATACTATCATCATTATACTATCCTATACTATTACTGTTATTATCCCAATGCCGCCGGGGAAAATGAACAAAAAATGGGGAAAATGCTGTGCCCACTTTCTATGTTTTTCGTGAAATGTCTGCCGATAGATGGCTCTGCTAACGCCTGATTTGAAATGGCGGGAAAAACGTATTTTTCACTAGTGCTATGAAAATCGATGGTGTTATTTTTATCATAAACATTATAATTTTTATGTTTTTTAACATTAGTAACAGCAAAATAAGATTACGTAAAATTACGTAAGTGTTGCCATCTATGCGTAAAAACAATCAAACAAGTACTCACGGTGGGCATAGCACGTACGTACACGTCATACCCGGCACCAATGGGTTATTATTGCATCCATTATCGTAATTATTACTATAGTTATTATCATACTATCTTCATTATACAATTACATACTATAATTACCATATACTATTATTATATTTTTATTATAGCAGTTATCACTAGCATCACTATCATGCTATATTCATTATATCGTTATACACTATCGTTGTTTTTTACTATTTAACTTTATTCGTTCAAATTAAAGTAATTATTACTGTTATCTTTATAATACTATGATCAATATACTATTATATACTGTTATCGTTATGATTATCATAATGTGGTTATTTTCATTAATTATCGTCGTTGTTGTTATCATTATCATTGTCGTTAGTATTTTTTTTCTAAATGTTGCTATGGTTATTATCATTGTTATTGCTGGTGTTAGCATTAGTATTAATATCTGTGTTTGTATAAGTATTATTACAATTATCATTATCATTAATGTTATCATCATAATTAATATCTTTATCTTTGTCATTATTATCGTTAATATTATAGTTCTGATTGCTATAATGTTATTATTATCGTCAATATCATCATCATCATCATCGCCTTTATTATCATTATCAGTATTATCGTTATTATAATCATTCTTCTTCTTCTCCTTCTTCTTGCCATGATTATTATTATCATTCCATTTCTTATTATGCTGTTATTGTTATCATTAACATTATTACTATGTCTATTGTTATCATCTTAATTATTATTATTCTCTTTCTCTCTCTCTCTCTCTCTCTCTCTCTCTCTCTCTCTCTTCCTCTCTCTCTCTCTTTCTCTCTCTCTCTCCCTCTCTCTCTTCCTCCCCCTTTCTGCTCTCTCTCTCTCTCTGCTCTCTCTCTGCTCTCTCTCTCTCTTTCTCTCTCTCTCTCTTTCTCTTTCTCTCTATCTCTCTCTCTCTCTCTCTCTCTCTCTCTCTCTCTCTCTCTCTCTCTCTCTCTCTCTCTCTCTCTCTCTCTTTCTCTTCTCTTCTCTCTATTTCTCTCTCCCTCCCTCCCTCCTCCTCTATCTCTCAAGCTCCCTTAAAATCTCAAACAATATATCATCAAACACTAAAGTTTATGAATCTCCGACATGTTGCTCTTTAAAAAAAAAAATCTTTCATTTACGAAAACACATTTTTTTCTTCCATTTCATATGCAATATCACCCTGCCTTTATTTATTGTTTTCTTCAATGCTAACTGTATTCTAGTCATCCTCCTCATTTCCTCACACTTTCTCCTCATCTATTTCGTTTTATTATCTTCATCCTCATCAGCCCTACGCTATTTATCTCTTCATCAGCATGACATTTTCTATCTATCAGTTATCCTCATTCCTCATACCCTTTACTACGGACCCTCATAATCCTTATCTCTGAGTCTCGACACCTCACAGCCCCTCATAGCAGTCCTTATACTTCTCCCCTCATTTCTATCCTCACTTTACTTCTTCATTCTCCCTCATCTTTACCGTGCCTACCTCATAATTTTCCATTCTTACCCTACCTACCTCGTTCTTCCTCATAATTACCTTACCCACCTCATAATTCTCTATTCTTACCCTACCTACCTCATTCTTCCTCATAATTACCTTACCCACCTCATAATTCTCTATTCTTACCCTACCTACCTCATTCTTCCTCATAATTACCTTACCCACCTCATAATTCTCTATTCTTACCCTACCTACCTCATTCTCCCTCATCTTTACCGTGCCTACCTCATAATTTTCCATTCTTACCCTACCTACCTCATTCTCCCTCATCTTTACCGTGCCTACCTCATAATTTTCCATTCTTACCCTACCTACCTCATTCTTCCTCATAATTACCTTACCCACCTCATAATTCTCTATTCTTACCCTACCTACCTCATTCTCCCTCATCTTTACCGTGCCTACCTCATAATTTTCCATTCTTACCCTACCTACCTCATTCTCCCTCATCTTTACCGTGCCTACCTCATAATTTTCCATTCTTACCCTACCTACCTCATTCTCCCTCATCTTTACCGTGCCTACCTCATAATTTTCCATTCTTACCCTACCTACCTCATTCTTCCTCATAATTATCTTACCCACCTCATAATTCTCTATTCTTACCCTACCTACCTCATTCTCCCTCATCTTTACCGTGCCTACCTCATAATTTTCCATTCTTACCCTACCTACCTCATTCTCCCTCATCTTTACCGTGCCTACCTCATAATTTTCCATTCTTACCCTACCTACCTCATTCTTCCTCATAATTACCTTACCCACCTCATAATTCTCTATTCTTACCCTACCTACCTCATTCTCCCTCATCTTTACCGTGCCTACCTCATAATTTTCCATTCTTACCCTACCTACCTCATTCTCCCTCATCTTTACCGTGCCTACCTCATAATTTTCCATTCTTACCCTACCTACCTCATTCTTCCTCATAATTATCTTACCCACCTCATAATTCTCTATTCTTACCCTACCTACCTCATTCTCCCTCATCTTTACCGTGCCTACCTCATAATTTTCCATTCTTACCCTACCTACCTCATTCTTCCTCATAATTACCTTACCCACCTCATAATTCTCTATTCTTACCCTACCTACCTCATTCTTCCTCATAATTATCTTACCCACCTCATAATTCTCTATTCTTACCCTACCTACCTCATTCTTCCTCATAATTACCTTACCCACCTCATAATTCTCTATTCTTACCCTACCTACCTCATTCTTCCTCATAATTATCTTACCCACCTCATAATTCTCTATTCTTACCCTACCTACCTCATTCTTCCTCATAATTACCTTACCCACCTCATAATTCTCTATTCTTACCCTACCTACCTCATTCTTCCTCATAATTACCTTACCCGCATCATACTTCCCCATCCTTACCCTACCTACCTCGTTCTTCCTCATAATTACCTTACCCACCTCATAATTCTCTATTCTTACCCTACCTACCTCATTCTTCCTCATAATTACCTTACCCACCTCATAATTCTCTATTCTTACCCTACCTACCTCATTCTCCCTCATCTTTACGCTATTACCTCATACTTCCTCATCCTTACCCTATTACCTCATACCCCCCCACCCTCATCCTACTGCCTCATACTTCCCCATCCTCACACTACTACCGCATGCTCCCCCAGCCTCATCCTACCTGCCTCATACATCCCCCATCCTCATCTTACAACCTCATACTCCCCCATCCTCACCCTACCCCATCTCTATCCCTTCTCCATCCTCAATACCTCCTCATACTTTTCCAACGAGTCCTCATACTCCCTCATACTTTCAGGAGTCCTCA